GACATCACTCCAGAAGCTTGTGATTTCAAATAAACCTGTTGGGACTACAACCTGGTGTCGTGTGATTCCTGACCTTGGCCACCCCAATCCAACACTGGCACTTCCACATCATGGCTACTATTGACATTTTTAATGAAAAATGCTTATGTAAAATCGTTATCCTGTACTACATCTGTACTACACCTGGCATTATATGACTTCAGCCATTAAAAATGTGGCATTAAAATTTATAATGCTAACAGTTCACAACAAGAAACAAACTTTGTATACAAGAGTGTGCCGAAGATAACTTTTCTCATAGATTTTACCGAAAAACATGCAGTATAGTAATTGGAGAAAGTAAGAACTGCCGATGCTGGAGTCAGAGATAACACAGTGTGTAGCTGGAGGAACCCAGTAGGCCAGGCAGCAGAGGAGCAGGAAAGCTGACGTTTTGGGATTTCTGAAGAAGGGTCCCGACCTGAAACATCAACTTTCCTGCTCCTCTGATGCTGCCTGGCCTGCTGTGCTCCTCCAGCTCCACACAGTATATTAATTGCCTGCTTCTGGTCTGGAGATGATTAAATGGACTTGAGGATATTTTGCTTTTCATGACAGCTGGAATACAATTAGTTCTTGGATAAACCTCCAGTGAACTAAAGTCATTTTTTAAAATTTTCAGTTTGTAGTTTGGCTCAACTTATTTTTCTATTATTTGTTTATGGGTGTTGCTGACTAGGCCAGTATTTATTGCCTATCCCAAATTGCCCTAGAGATTGTGGTGAGCCACCTTCTCATGATGAACAGTCCTCATGATGCAAGTACACCAAAGTGCTATTGATGAGGGACCTCTCAGATTTCAGACAAGATTCACAATGTATATTTTTCCATGGGTAACAAAATCCTACAATGCACCTTACCCAAGAACTTGTAAAAAGTTCATTAATATGACAAGAGAAAAGGCTCAATAGAATTGTTAATTTACTATGCCCAAGGCAAGAAACAATGTTTTTACCTGCAATGGATACTACAGACCACAAAAGTCATGACTAAATCTCCAGCATCCAAAGAAACAACCAGAAGAAGTGCTGAATCAGAACAGGTGTAAAGTAAACCAGACTCAAAAGCTGTATTCACAGCAGAATTGGCTTTCGTGCATTCTACCACAACCTGGTAACAAACTCAACAATCACAGCAATTACACAAACAGGAGTAGACCATTCAGACCCTTGAACATGCTCAGCTATTCTATTAGATACTGGCTGATTTATACTTCCGCTCCCTTTACAGGCTTTCTTTCTACAATCCTCGATACCCTTATTTAGCAAAAAATCTATTGGTTTCACTCTTGAAATTTTCAATGACCAAACATCCACAGCACTTTAGGCAAGTTTAAAATTTCCACAAACTTATTTATGAAATCAGACTTAGATTTCACTCTAAAATGATCCAGCTCTAATTTTAAGGTTATCACCTCTACTTCTAAATGTTCTCACCAGAATTCCTGCAAATCTAACCTACTGAATCCCTTAAATTAGTTTAACAAGATCTTCCTTCACCCTTCTGAATACTTATTCAATGTGCCTCATATTTAACTCTTATGTGCCGGTATTTTTCTTATGAATCTATGCTGTGCCCCTTAGAAGGCCAATATATGTATTTCTTGAGCCAAACTAGCAATACCTGTGACAAGATCTTAGGTGACCTTGCCCCGGCAAATGGCACTGTCAGTTCTGCTGTCGAGAATTTCACATAGGCTACCTTCAGTAGGTGGTCACAAGCATGACCCAAAACTTCCAGCAGTCATTCTGATTCTGTATTTTACTCCCTCGTCATTGGTCTGCTAACTCATTCTCAAGAAATAGCACTGCATCTGTCACTTGGTCACTTTACCGTGCTCTGTACTCAACACTGAATTCGACAATTTTAGATCATGACTTCTGTCCCCATACTGGTTTTTTTTGCTAGCTTCTTTATTCTTCATTTCATTGTTCTTGTATTCTGTTAGCAGCTATCCTGTCATTCACACCTTTTTCAGATACATCATTTGTTCGTTCACTTAACCCACTCACGTTGGCCTTGCAACAAGCAATCTTTTGATATTTAATTTCTCCCACCTGACCCTAACAAACTTTTGTTTTTGTTCTTCTAATTTCACTTGCTCAAAATCTATTTAATTTCCAATAACCCTCAGTTCTAATGAAACATAGACCTGAAACACTAATAACTGAATAATTCCAGCATTTACTACTTTTACTTCATATTTCTGCAATATTTCTACTTTTTTTCTACGTAATGTGTTTTGGATAAAAGATGCAAGTTACCCACGGCCCTATTAAAACATCTTGATCCTTTTTTGAAATAGCTCATATCATCTTTTATATTTACTTGAGATTGGCGAGTGGGGTTTTGATTAACTTTTCATCTGAAACACAGCAACTCTTAACAATGCAGTATTATCTCAGAATGGCATTGCAATGTCAGCCTAGATAACATAATCAGGTTCTGCAGAGTGAGTTGAACTCTCAATCTCTGATTTAGATACCAACTGACGCAAATTGAAATTCAAATTTGTCCCAGCATTAGAGTAGCGATTGAGTTAACTACTGGAATATCAAAGTAACAGTGTGTGGTTCTTTCTCAACAGTTCGTGTCACAGCTGTACGTGCATGTTTGTATCCAACTCGATCTGTTAGGAATACATTCAGTGGAGTTTAGATTTCTGAGATTCTTCTATTATATAAAATCTAACAGGGCCAGACAGCATAAATGCAGGAAGGATGTTCACGCTAACAGAGGAGTCCTGAACCAGAAGTTACTGCCTAAAGGATACAGGGTAGGTCATTTAGGATTGAGATGAGAAGCAATGTCTTCACCCAGCGTGAAGAGCCTGTGAAATTCCCTCCTCCCAATACACAGGAATGCTGTCCCTTCCTCATATCCTAAGGCAAGATATCACCAAAAGACAGAGGTCTTTGGTATCACCAACATTGTTGCTTCATTTTCCTTCTGAATGATGAGCCAAGATTAGTGACTGATTTCCCTCAGCATCTTTGGATGCTAAAGGATGGCACTTTACAGATCTTTATCACAATATTATTCCAGTTGTGTCACTTACATTCATATATCCCTACTGCATTGATGATCCAACTCTGTAAAGTACTAACATCTGTTGCTGGTTTTCATGAAGTACAGAACTATTTACAGTGCCCATTGAACTAAAATCTTAAGTCCATTTACACAATTTTCAAACTTTTGATCTGATCAGTTTTTCAAAAGATTGTAAAATATTGTACATTCACAATAGGAAATGTTTCCCACTGAAGATACTAACTATGTACTTAAGTGCCTTACGATACTAAAAACATCTGTATCTAAAATTAGAATGGCAGGTTTTTGCTTCTAAATGGGCCCAATTCTAGTTTTAAGCCAACACGCCAAATATTCATTCTCATTGATTAAATAGTAGTATTTGGGAATAAAGTGAAATTAATAGTCAATATCTGTTTAAAATGTCTTCAAGATAATAGCTGTTCACTTCTATGCAGTACGGCAAACACAGGAGTACTCAATAAACTATTCATCTTGAAATATCACTCACAAAAGATTACAATAAAAAAATTCTCACATACTGGACAAAAACAACAGCTGACACTACAACCCATAATTCATTTTCTTGTAGGTAGTTTTTATATGCTGACATATGGAATAAGCTTGGTCATATGCCTGAGACTATAATCAAGTAATTTGATCTACATATATCAGGCCCATTTGCCAGTCACTTATTTCTCCACTTAATGCTTTGCAATTGCTGATTTCAAGAGATCTACAGGAGGAATTTCTATGTTTGTGTCTTTCAGAAGTTACAAATGGGCCAATGGGTCATAAGCATGCTCCTTGTCCATGTTATTCATGCAGCTGCACATGGAGGATATACTCAGCCTTACAGCAGTTCAACTCACCTGTCTTCGTTGAAACAGAAGAAATGGGAGGGTAAATGGGTGCAGAGATGGGGGAAGAAATGGCATCTGAATGACTTTTTAAAATTGGACCAAAAAGACAGAAATAATTAAATAGCTTGAAAGCTTCTAAATTAGACTTCAATCACTTCAACTCTGATGAAGAATCATCTATACTCGAAATGTTAGCTTTGGATGCTGCCTGACCTGTTGTGATCTCCAGCATTTTGTGTTTGAGGTTCTGAATTAAATCAGCTTTGGTAACACCAACATTTCCTGCAGGGGTGTGAAAATCTACACAGGACACAAATGATTGATGAAAGCCTTTGACTGATATGGAAAAAACAGCCAACCACACTGCAGAGTCATCTATTGTGCAATTTTAAGTTACTCTTGATTTACAGCATGGCATTATGCACATCAACCAGTGATAATCCTTGTCCTGATGTGTTGGAGTCATCATTAGTGTCTGGATTAATTTTTTTTTAATTCAAATCTTTGGCTTATCTATCAATTCCAGATAAAAACATGCCAAATCCAAAGTAAATATTGTAATATTCCAAACCACTTTGCATTCTATCTCATGGAATTCCTGATCCAATAAGAACCTTCAAAAACAATTCAAATGCTCTGTGCTTATTGTTTAGTAGCACTAAATATGATCAAATTCACTTTCATTCAGAGACAGAAGCAATTTTTTTTAAAGAAGGTCAAAGCAGCAGACTGGAGTCTGATATATGGAACTGAAAATTGCACCACCATTTTGTATTTATCCACTGAGCAATTACGAGCTTTAGATGAAGGGTTTAATTCCACTTGCTGTTGAAGAATGACTGAATCAGCAGTGGTGTAAATAACTGAAAATCAGTGTTATTTTTAAAATTGAAGTGAAGGCCTCTAAAGTACTGCTAATTGTTCAGAAGTTGGACTACATTTCCTAGGAAATTCATGTCAAGCACTTTGGAACATTTGAGAAAAGTAATAAGGCATGATGGCACAAGTCTACTTGGATTCCCATGCAGTGTTCCAAAATATATATAAAAAGATTCAGACAACACAAGATACTTTCATTAATTTATATATTTCTGCCTTATAGTTAACATATGCATTTTCTTTTGTGCCACCCTTAATTTTTCTCAGTAAGTAATGCTATTTGTTATATTCAGAAATGAGTAAAATTTCAGACAGCTTTTTGAAATAAATACCATAAAATAATAGAGCTTCACATAATAAATATTCTTTACAACAAAAGAAGTTTTGAGACATTTTAAAACACATGGAATTCCTCAAAACCTTTTTTAAACATAAAATATATACATGATAAAGCCACAGGTTGGCTTGAGACAGAAGTAAGGAGAACTTATTGGGGCAAATTTAGGAAAATAAACCAGAATACGGTCCCAACAATTTTAAGTCAACCTGATATTTAATTATGGATGTCACAATAAAATAGAAATTGATATTTATCAAGGGCATTTTGCTAATACCTCTGATATCCAGTTATCACTTCTCAGAAAATATTGTTATTCCTCTGTATAAAACATTATTAAACTACAAAATTAAAGAAGCATTCTGTACTTCTGTATTACAACACCCACTGTGGGTTAGATTGAAATATAAAACCCAAGACTGATCTATCTTTTGAAAAAAAGGTTTTACATTATGCTGAACATTGTAGTCTTTGCTATAATTTGCTGTTGTTTGGACAAGTGCAGAATTTTGAATTATGATAAAACAAATCATTTTACTTTCTTTATAAAATAATGTTATTCTTTCCTACTGTTTGATTAACTTGCTTAAACATAGAGATGTGTTAAGAACTTGAGGCATGCAGTATACTACAAATTTTGAAATCATACTAGCTCACCTTGTATCATCCAATAAACCAAGTTGTATTCTTTGAAAACTTGATCATATTCTACATTCTAAAAAGGTTCCCAAGAACTTACACACTAACAGAGGTGAAAATTCCAAGGTCAGCTAAATATTGTAAAACTATAAACTGAACAAAAATAGCACATTAACAGTTTCCCAACACATAGCAAACAATGGAAATCTTGTCAATTAATACAACTTAACTAATGATACCCTGTTGCTAAAGTAGTTTGAGGTGGCCAGAATAAGCACTCCCCTTCACAGTAAAGCACATTGAGTACAAAGCAGAGAACACAGCTTTATTCTCAAATCTGCTTAATCTCTTGATTAGGGAACAGGGAAAGTTTACCTGGATAATTTCAGGAGAATTCTGCAACAAAATGGAAACAAGTAACGAAATTATAAAAGAATAATGAAACCCAATGTACTTTAAGTGTCTGAGAAAATCTGGCTCTTTCAGAGTGAATATAGTTTTGTGATAGAAACTCTAGCGCAGGCCACTGCTTTGTGACCATTGCACCAGTGGTTTCCCCCAGTTATCTTGCTGGTTTGCAATTGTATTGTAACATCCATACATTAAACAGATCAAATTCCCCCACAGAATCTGGTTAATTAGTTTCACTTAGGCTAACTTTGTCGATGATTTTTTGAAGAATACCAGAATATTTTGTGCAACATGAAAATTCTGTGGACAACAGAAATTAGTTAAGGGGGCTGCTTGCAGGTGAGAAAGCAATGGTTTACTCCTTTGAAGTGATACGGATGTCTCTTCACCTCTGGGGACCTGAAACATCCATGATCCTAAGCCGGACAGGCAGAACTGGAGCTGTTCCATGTTGACAAAGAGCATCCATCTCTCGACTGTAAAACGGGTAAGATTAGAACAGTTGCTGCACTTTGATGATATCAAGTCTGAGGCTGAAGTGGATAAACACACAGGCATGATTTCAAAATAAAAAATGAAAAAAGTGTTAAAGATCTCTGCTGCCCCAGATCATGAGGGTTTGTCCTCCCCTGGAGTGGGACAGCTCTTGAGTTTGCAATACACAGTATTTGAATTCTTGCATCGGCACCCAGGCCTGTTTACACGGTCATAACACCCCTGGCAAAGTTTAATACAACCCTTAGCTGGAAGATAGCAGAGTAAACAGGGCAAAAACAAGGACATTAAACCCATGCACAAGAATCTGGAGCAGCAATGCGAATGGGAGCAGGAGCAAGGATTATCCGCACAGGAGTCCTCATCATCATTGGAGCAGTGGTAGAAGATTCCCTTTACTAAACACATGCATGTACCGTACTCCACCATGCTCTCGGCTGAGCAGAGGCACTGCCTGTTACAAGCCAAACGTGAAGGGAGGGTCCTCGGTGCTGTACACTCTCTGCACTTGCACTTCCCACATTGCTCACATATAAATCTATGCTTTGTCAGGTCCTCCTTCCCTAAGCATTTCAGCTCATCTGTTGTGCAGAGAGATGGTTTAGGCTGTATTCTAACCATCCTGTCCGATCTATGGTGGCTGGAGGTTGGCCGTGTCGGTGGTGAACGCCCCAAAAGCCCTTGCTCAGACGATGCACTACTGTTGCTCCCTGAGCTAGCTGCACTACCTGTGCTAGTCGATCTGCTCAACACAGGCATCCTGGTCGAGGAGTGGTGACCGGCATGTGTGTGGTGAGTGGACCGATGCTCGTAGTTATTATTCACATTGATCGGTATCACTTCGTGAGTCCTTTCATGCTTCTCATGCCGTTGTGTGGGTCTGCTGCTATTAATGCTACTAGCCTTCTTCGCAATAGCAGGGCCTTCTGTGTATTCATTGCTGGTCCTGATTGCTTTAATCTGATCGAGGGATAAAATGGCAGTGTGCTGCAGCTCCCGTTCATAGTCCAGTCTCTGCCTGCTGTCAAGAGAGGGTTGCTGGATTACCACCAATGAACCACCACCGCCATGCTGAATACGGGTCTCCATCTGCAGCGATCACTAATTCCAGCATTCACCGTAGGCTTGGCATGCATCTGAAATTCTGCCAAAACAAGTGAAGAAGAAAAAGCTGTGTTAGAGTCACATTGTTTCATTCAGCAATAACTTATGGGATCACAAGGATCCCAGGCTACTGGGAAAGAATAGATTCAGAAAGCACTTAACCCACTGGACCGCAGCCACAGTTCCCACAATGGAAACTGCATTTGGATTCATAAGGCAGCCCTGCTGGCAACAGAAGTTATTTCTACTTTGAGCCAGATACTGATTAACAGTCCGCACACTCATTCAAACTCATTAGTTTGCAATAGGAAGGCTTTCCTATTTCTTGGTAAGATTGTTCAATCTGTCAGGAAGGGGGTCAATCCAGTCCAGTCAAATTCTGCAATCGACATGGAGCCATATAAAGCCAAAGTATATTAAGAGACAGTATTGAGGGAGGCAAGAAAGCGTTTTTTTTCTCTTTTTATTACAATACTTGCGTTTGTGTACTTATGCACATTTCACGTACTATACATAAACACATTTACATTAGGGAAAGGCAGTAGTGAAGGACTAAAGTCACTGGACTAGTATTCCAGAATCCCAAGTTAATGTTCTGAGGCCAATGATTTGAATTAGGACCCAATTAAAATTTGGAAAGAACTAGCCTCATGGTGACCATGATTTCAAGTGCTGGAAAACCACATCTGCTTCATTAATTCCCTTTACAGAAAGAAATCTTCCATCCTCACCTGATCTGGCCTACATGTAACTCCAGACCCACAGAAAAGACGCTCTTAAACTCACCCTTATTCCGTGGATGATTAAGAAACATATTAAACAGCAAGTCATCCCACAGTGCTTAACAAAAGGGCTGGTATTGTTGAAAAAAAATACATTCTGATGGAGCTTTTCATTTTGCAATCAGGCCAATTCATGAGACAAGGGGAAAACAGAGGGTGCAAAAGCAAAGTGTGCCATTTTTGAGAAATATTCAAGTTCTGAACTAACAAATAACTAAAAAAGGATAAGTATCGAAAGGCAAAGGAAAACAGGCAAAGGTGTGATACAAAGTAGAGATTATGAATTAACAAAAACAGAAATTCCTGGCAAAACTGGTTTGTGGGTCTGACAGCATCCGTGGAAAGAAAGCACAGTTTCGTGTCTGGTGATTCTTCATTAGACCTGATAGCAGCTAGATAAACTGGTATTATGCTGAAGATGAGGTTAAGGGAAGTTATAAATTGTTGTAAGCTGGGAGAGACAAAAAAGGTAGAGACACCAAAGACTTTTCCAGAAATGGTTTGTTATGTGCGTGCGTGCACACATGCATTTTTTTTGGGGATGAGTAGGCTCAGGATTCAAACACCCGAGATAGACAGACAGCTGCTGGAGATTGCTCAAGTAAGCTGATACACAAATATGGATGAGGATTTGAAGAGAGTTTGATGAAATACAATGGATTACTGGAGATCAAGAACTAACATCTAGGGAAGAAACTAGTTTTCACCAGTTTCCCAAAAGAAGTACAGAATTTTTCAGGTCAATAGACACAACAATATCCAAAATGTGGAATCCCTGAATGCTCGCATTGATAATCTAGTTCATTTTGCACGTTACATATGCTGTGCCCATGTCATGGATACAATATACCTGCATCTCCAAATTCCACTTTTGGCAGGAGTAGAAACAACACTGAAATTTAGATTTTTTTTAAGAATGTGCTGGTCCCATTCTTTAGGTACTGCATTTAAGACTAGAGCATTTATACTGCAACAAACATCAATGTCCGTTCTCAGATGAGAATGGAGCAACAACAGCAACACAACTTACACACAGAACAGATTCTTTTCACATTCACTGCCTGTGGAGCAACCTGGTGGAGTGGAACTTTATGCCCATTATAGAGCCAGCCCAATTTTCACCTCACTCAAAACAGTGAAAATTGTCAAGTCTTTATGGTGCAAGGGAAATCACTTCAGGTGAACATGGTCACAAGTCTATTTAAAATCAGAGGCCAGAGACTCGCTTATGTCACAATTTTCAAATTGGTCCATCAGAGAGGCAACTGAACAATCATAGATTTTTTTTCTAATTTTACTTTGAAAATACACTGGATAGTTAGAAATCAGACAGGACAAGTTCTTTCTTTCCCTAGCAATGAGGTACAGAGAGGAATAAAGTTTCCGAGAGGTGGTGTGCATATGAGAAGGAGGTGGGGACCAAGGAAAGGAGGTCCTGCTGACAAGGGAAAAGAAGCTATAGTTCAACATTACAGGTCATTTAAATCTATTTCACAATACACAGCACAAGAGTTTTACTGCAGGAATAATACATTTTGGCATCTGCAATGGGAAATAGATAATCACTCATTCAGTTTCCTTCCTGTCCTCTAGACCTTTTCTTTCTAAATATCCTACTTTTTCATTTCCTTCTCTGTTTTCAACTTTTCCCCTATGTAAGCCCTCGTTTTAATCTTATTTTCCTCTCCTGATCAATAGCTAATTTTTTTTTCTCCCCGACGTAGGGCTTGGTGTCCAGGATTGGTTGGCTGAGTTGGCTAGACAAGGGTTGTATGTAATGCAGAGCAAGGCCAACTGCACGGGTTCAATTCCTGCACCAACTAAGGACACCATGAAGGACTATCCCTTTCAGCCTCTCCCATTGCCCAAGACATGGTGATCCACAAGTTAAACCATCACCAGTCGTCTCTCTCTAATGAGACAGCACCCAACCTGGTAGGACTATGGGGACTTGAGGAGCACTATAGAAACACAGGTTGTGAATTACTTTAATATTTCCTTTAGCCCATTAGATCCTGCCTAGCTAGGTGACAAACATCACCCTTTACCTGTGGACTTGGAGACAGGGGAACTGCAGGGTTTATCAGTCCGTTCGTACAACAGTCTACATCTCCATTTGACCATGCGACTGAGAGCTAGAAACTCCCCACGTGTGAATCACAGAAATGCCGATCCCACATCACAGTACTGGAGGATAATAGCTTTTTTGTTGAGACTCATAGCAGGCTGTGCAGTACTACAGTTTTAACTTCGCTCAAGGCAGCCATAACAAAGCATATGGTTGCCTAAAAGATTCAGTTTCCTGAGCTGTTGAAATTTTGTTTTTAAATTCTAGGCTACCTCACAATAAAGGCACATTCTTGCCAAGACCAGAACCATTATTGTATTTTCTTTCTTCCAACCTTTGCTCATACAGTGGGTGGAAGTTTACACAAGTGGCTCAATGAAAGGAAAGGTCACCAGCATCAACTCCCACACTATACAGCTAATCACTTGCAGCTCTCAAGCGCAGCCACTTTTCAACAGGTATTTCACTATTGAAGAATTAAGAAAACTAAATAGTTGCATAATAAAGGTCAATAAAATTTATAAATGACTACTATTAAGCAGCCCAAGTACAAATGATTTAGTGATAAGAGAAATAAATCAAATTTAAATTGCTTATATCATAAATTAAATCTTTCACAATTTTAAGAATGATTCGACATTCATAAGACCACTTCCCTGATGTCTCAGCAAGTCTAAATTCAATCTGTGCTCTGTACGGTTAGCTGATTTCAGCTGTAATAAAGGCTTGGTATTTCTTGGATATAGAACTGGGGAAGGGGGTGGGGGGGAGAAGGAGAAGGGAGGAGGCAGAAAAGAGATCACATTTGATCAAAATCCATAGCCTTATGATCCTCTCCTTACAACTCCTGATTCCTCTAATCTAACAAACTGTCAGCGCTCATTATCTACTTTTGTGAATGAAGAATGGCAGACTGGAGGAGACACCAGAAGGATTATTAACATGTAGTGAATGGGATTGACTAGGGCTTCAACCTATATCTCCAGGAAATGAAGGGCAAAGTAACATACACGCTGATGCAAGTACAATATTGAAAAGTGGTAGTATTAAGTTGTTAATCATCCACAGTCAATAAAGACCCCCTTCTCTACCACGAAATCATCTTAAATAGCAGATTACCCTCACAGCAGTTCAATGAATCTCCTTCAATGCTGAATAATGAAAATGAGCAGCGGTGTACACCCAACTAGATGGAATCTTTTAGAATTAAAAAGGATCAAACAAGGGTACAGGGATTAGAGCAGAAGTTGCTGAGTGGCTTCAATTCCCACCCAGAAGATCGTCACACTTGAAATCCCACTCTAAAAGATGCCATATCCCTTGATCTCATCTGTCTCAGTTGGCTGGCTTTGCTTACAAAAATATAATTTTATCTGAAATGGAAGGGGAAAGAAATTCAGACTCTGCACAAGTAGCTGTGGCTCAAATCACCCAACATTCCCAGCAGAGAATGTGTACAGAATCACATCGGCATTGGCTCTCCAATGAACAATTTACTTAGTTTTGGTCTTCCACCTTGCCCACATAACCTTGCACAGATTTCCTTTTTAGATAGCAGTCCAACTCCCTTTTGAACGCTTCAATTGAACCTGTCTCCGTCATGCTCTCAGGCAGTGTGTTCCAGACCTTAACTCCTCACTGCCTGAAAAATTCTGAAGATACAAATGCACGCAGAACATGCAATAGTGATACATAAAGGACCTTTTGCTGCTACATTTGACAGTGAAAAATCGTAACTTATTGCACTCAAAAGACTAAGATTGGTCTGAAAGTGGCAAGGGAAGATGATGATTGGGCTTATACTGACACTACAAAACTGGTTTTCATATTTCTTACAAGAAAAGTTTACATAACAAGAAATTGTATGCAACATTTTAAAAATAAAAATGCCTTTCATCTTCAATTTTTATTTTAAAACAAATATGAAAAGTGGAGTTAGTGGCCGAAGGGTTAATATGTTAGTTTCTTATGCACAACATTGGCCGGAGGAGAACACCATAAACATAATGTTCACTGTCATCAGCCTTCAATAAGTACCTAACATTTTATCATGGCATCATCTGCCCGTTTTCTTTCAAAATAGTTTTGAGCATGCAACTGTGAATTACAGCACCACGTTCTTTTTAAAACATCAAAGGCAATGGTTATTAGAAATGTCAATAACACAAATACAGCAAACTTAATGACTTGCATACTTAATGCATAACCATTATTCCTACAAAGTAGCTATTGATTATATCCAGCATCATTGCATCAAAACAACCTCACTCTCATTTCTCCCTCACCCTAAAGTTTGTTTCAATTTTTTTTTAAAACTGGAAAGATCCAAGACTATATAATGTATTGCATTAAACAGAGGAGAGCAATGGGTTAAATCAATTGCTCTGCCCGGAGCGGCCAGGATCTGCTGGATTTCCCCAAGCACCTGGTACTCCGCTTTTGCAGAAGATTATACTGAAAACGAAACACTGGATCTTGGTCAAAACAAAACAGCAATAAACTGGAAGACTATTACCATGTGGTATCCATAATGTGGTTTTAATTTGCAAGCTCCACAACACTGCACAGTGCTAGACTTATTTTTGTGCAAGAGGCATTTTTGCCTTGAAATGCCACAAAAATGCAACCAACTCACCAGATTTCCACACACATTGTGGTATGGCTAATAAATACAATTCTGTCCTTAAAATACTTGCACAAATATTACTGATCTGAAAAAAAGCTGGAAAATTATTCATAACTTAACAATGAGGTTTGAAATCTCTTCCCACCAGAACCACTAAGGTTTGGTTTCACTTCAGAATAAACAGCAAAGGCACAGTTGAAGGAATGAAAAGTGGGTGTGCGAAATGCCCTAAGAACCTGGCTCTGACTGGAAGTAAACTGGAGTGAAACATAACCATTTTCCTGTTTAAGCACCAATTCGACTAGATATTATCAGCTATGAAAGCACGCTTTTAAAATTTGCAAAGCACAAGCATAAGTACACAGTGTCTGCCTTCCTTGATGAGCAATAACAATAAGTGCCAGGCTAGAGCTGCATTTGCAGCTCTTGTGGTGCAGTGGTAGTGTCCCTATTTCTCAGCCCGAAGGCCCAGGTTTAAGTCCCACCTCCTCCAGAGGAGAATAATAATACTTCTGATCAGGTTGATCAGAAAATATCTGCAAGTGTTTCTGTTGATTTACTGCTAGAAGATCCAGAAACAAGCATCTTCAACCCAAATTCCAACACAAATAACAGCAGCACCTGAAGCATTACTTTTCACAATTGAACCTCGCCCTGAAATGTCTACAGCTTCAGCACATCCGATTAAGGGATATTGTAAATAATTTAAATTTTAGGCTTTCAGTCCCTTAGGCAAGGAACAACAGATGAACTGGTCTAAGATAAAATGAGACAGATAGATAGATGGATAGTGTTGGAATACATAAGATATATTTAAAAAAAGGCCAAAAGACTTAAGGATGCCAGAATGAAGACAAATATGAATTCAGAGCCCCAATAAATTACAGAACTATCTCTATAGATTTTATTTTTAAAACAGGACATAAATTTCTCTCAACAAGAAAAGGATAAAGTGATTTTTTTTCGTAATTACTGGCCTGCTGATTCGTCTGCACTCTCACAAGCCATGTGATTCTAAAGATGCATATTCCTACAAAGTTCATTAGTAAAAAAAAAGGCTCTCCCCCACTTTAAATCAAATGAAGACTTTCTGTGTAGGTCTTATCATGCTATTTAAAATTAACTAGATTGATGGGACATACAGTAGTGGCCAGAAGTGAGCAGTACAATACTATATTACACGGGTCCTGAGTAGGAATAATTGTCATGGTTCCTGGATGTGTTCAATTAAAAAATGGCGGTGTTCTGATACCTGTCAACACCTTAGCCAACACAGTATTGAGTCTGAGCAAAAATGGGGAAAGAATGGGTAGTGGCACTAGGTGAATTGTTCTTGCAGTGAATGAGCATGGATAATGAAGGGCTAAACAGCCTCCTGCCATAATCATTCTACAGAAATAATTATTCCATTATTGCAGAGAGCGGAAGAACAAATCAAATTTTTCACAATTCATAGCTATGGTCCAGTCATTTCATTGACAATTATCAGTTACTTCCTAGCCAAAGCATATCATGTCTGATCACAGTATGATATGGGCTAACTAAAAATCCAGCACATTTGCTTTTGTTACAAAAATATATACCTTAAATCTTAATTTGCAAATTGGCCAAAACAAGTTAGTGAAGGTGAAACTACCGTGAATGACGGTCAGATTTAGAAGTCAGATCCTCACCAGCAGAACATGCTGTACTGCTGAACCCCTGTCAATGACCCATCGTGTTGACTCAGATGCAAGGCGTCTCGCTCGAAACTGCATCCGCAGGAGCCATTCGGCACTGCACATTTTAACATGGCTCTCTACTACCAACGTATAACAAAATACAGTATTTCCAGCTTTGCAACGCACGAGAGACCTGCACGCTAGCACCTGCAAATAACGTCAACAATGCATCCTCAGACTTTGTTTTTTTAACAAAGCCGGGTTTAAAAAAACCCAGTGATTTATATAACTTGACGGTGTTGCCTGCCTGTGTTTGTAATACAGCAACCAACATGCAGGGGAAATGAGAAGCGGGGAGGGGTCGCCCCTGAACATACACCCAGAGACTAACCCACTTCCATTCCCTGCATGACCTGGGTCGCCTGTACTAATATCAAACTTTACCCCCATTCGCGGCAATGGCCAGAAACCCCTAGAATCTAACCCCCTGCCCATCCCCAACAACTCAGACCATTCCTGACCTTGGCATTTGACTTTGGTCTCCGGCCTGTACTGGGCTGCCGGAGTTAGTTTTGCAGAAGGCTCTTGAGGAGTAGCGGGGGGGTAAACCTCTCATGGCAATCCGCACAAAAAATAAGAAGCCACCGACTCAGAAAGGGTAGATATTTTTAAAAGAAAAAGGGAGGGGAAGTGAAATCAAGCCACGTTTTAGAGTTTGCAAATAGCCTGCTCCTAGCAGTAGAGTCGATGCAATATGGGAAGTGACTGTAACAAATAAAAGGAGGGGGAGGCAACTCCTGGGGACGGCTCCCACCCAAGGAACGGCAGCCGTGCCTGCAGACACACTCTTCCCCTGGCACGTCGCGACACAACGAACGGCCGATGGGAACGACTAAAAAAAAAGACACAAAGTCCAATACACTGATTTCACAGGCAGCGAGCTGGAGAGAGGTGGGGGGGGGGGGGCGGTTGGGGCGAGAGGGAAGAGAAAACGCCCCCTTCGCCCCACAACAACTCTCACCACATCGCGTGCTGTAAGTAACTGCAGCTTCTTCCTCGATCGCGCAAGGGGGGGGTGGTTGGGAAGAGGGGGGTTCCCCGCGCCACTTCCAATATTGCTGCAGAATCCGAATCCCCTGCGCCTTAGCCCACGCCGAGAAGCCTGAGTTCACCACCCCACCTCCCTCATTCCACACCAACCGCCCCCTCCTTCCCCACACACACACACCCATCACCTTGTTGCAAACAAGCAATTGCTGCTTCGAAACTCCGCACACACTACTCTCTGGCAGCGCAATGGGCAAAGGGAAACGATCCACTCCACATTCACCAACCCCTTCCCCCTTCCTTCGATTCCTTGCTAGCAGTTTCCCGGCGATGACTTCAATGAAAATCAGGGAGACAGCGAGAGAGAGCGCGCCCTTCAAGAGATCGCAGCCAGCAGCGAGTCTCGGCTTTAATCGATCGTTCACCGAGCCTAGGGAAAGTAGCAGAGCTAGGTGGGAGGGGAATGGGGGGGCTGAAATTATGAATGAATCGAGCAGCAGCAACAGGCTGGCGCTGGAAAGGAATGGAGAAAACCACACGGGGGCGGACTTTCCAGTAACAACACTGGGGTCATTCAACTATTTTGACCATTTTCACAAGTGGAAGAGGATTCAACCTGAAGATTATAATCTCCGGCAACAAAAAGAAGTAAACATTCATTTTTGCGTTTAGGGATTAAAATCATATGAAAAAAAAAGGCGTTTGTAAAAGTTATCCAGTTAGATAAGACTTTTTAAAGTTATAAAATAGAGGGATCTTACCTATTTCCATATATCCACCAAATACAAATCCATTTTATTGCTGCCTTTGCCAAGTCTTTTCCAAGGTAAATCCAGATTCGAGCCTTATATCAACCAAATGTATATTTAGAAGACGCGTCGTCGGACCGAAAACAAGACTGAACGGGAGTGCAACTTGTGGAGCTGAAGGGAGCAGGAGCCCACGGTGCACTGACCCCGAGATGCAGACGTGCCGCGGGGGGGTGGGGATGGGTGGCGGTGCTGCCGACCACTCGCGGCGCACTCCACTCCGCGCTCTGGCCCCGTTCGCTGCAGCGTCCTTCGGGTGATTTCCTCAGCGGCGCTTCCCGCAGCACGCTGTCGGTGGGGGTTTGTCGCCGAGGCCGTCTCCTTGTTTGGCCACCAGTCAAGCTCTCCGCAAAGACTTTTGGTTCTGCACCTTGGTTGCCACACACGGAAGATGTCACCTGTAGCGCACGGTCTCTGGGTGCATCGGCTTGCCCTGGTCCTGATTGCTGTAGGTGTTGAAAGACTTTGAGCTCCCAACCTTGTGCCACAACTCTACTGCCTATATGTGTGTGTGAATGACTATCAGTGAAGCTTTGCTCCAATGCACTGTGTTATTGGTACATTTGTGGTAAGCTAAATCTCGGCACAGTTCCTCTTTATAACAGCTGTAGCGGCGCCATCCGCTTTCCAATTGTCCTCAGTGCCACTGGCGACCGCTCGTCCCGTCCCCTCCACCGCTAGCCCCGCACGAACACACAAACACACACCACGTTCCCTTCGCCCTCATTGGTCGCCAGCTCGCATTCCACCGCTGCTCATTAGCCGCAAGGGCGCATTCCAACGCCGCCGATAGGTCCCCGTCTCCGGGGTATGGGAGAGGGTGGTGACACGAAGAGGATACGGCGCATCCGGTCAGCATTGATTGGCTGGGCCGAAGCCGGCCTCGGTTACTGAGTTCTGATTGGATAGAGATGCGAGGATCCCGCCTGCTTCCCCACCCCTTTCCTTTGTTCCCAGGAAGCGGATTGGTCGGGCCTGGGGACTCTGGGTTGCCGCTGAGAGCAGATAGGTGGGTAATATCCCGCTAATTGGATCGGAGGAAGCGGCGCATCCGACCAGAGGCGATCGCTGTAGCGCTGGGTGCTTGTAACTCATTTCATTTAGACTTCCCCGTACAACTTCCCCTGCAATTTACTACGATTCATATAATGCATATTCCAGCCTAAATCAGTTTCGTTGTATTTCATAGTAACGTTAAGCTTTGAAGAAACTATATTGAAACATTAAACATAAACATTAGTTACTATTAGAGTCGTGTATCAATTCTGCTGGAGTTCTCACCATGTTCTTACTCAGCGAGATTTAAGAAAATACACATTTTGTATCTTGGCTGTCGAAGCACACTCTCCTTAAAAACATATTCTCTCTCACACACGCAGACCCCTCTCCCTGTCTACGAGGAAAAAAAAAGTTCCTTAATGCTAAACGAGCCATTGGAGAAAAATCATCTGAGCCCCTCACGCTGCCTTGGGCCCTCGGCGGCTTTATTATTCATTTGTAAAATAAACCGCAGACCGGAATTCAGTGCAATTCTCCCTCTATCGCATCCTGCTGGTTCCCATTATACAGAGAAAGCTTTCAGATGAGAAAAACGAATGTGGTTTTCAAAAGAGGCAGAGGAAACATTCATCAAAAAAGAGACCCGCAACGACGAAATCTCGCTTTCAAAGGCCATTATTGAACACATACAAGTATTTTAGATTTTTTTTTACCTTCGTTTGGGCTTTTTTACTTACCAACAAAACATAGAATCCGCGCATCGGAATATTGAAAATCCAGGTACTAAGGAGCTGAACATTTCCAACAGCCCCTACCCTTGGATAATGCTTTTGTGTTCAGATCACACTGGGGGGAAATCCCGACTTCCTAAACTCCTCTTTGTTGTAGCTCCAGTCATTTGAATGCACCAAAACAACTGTCTCCTGCCACCGTACTCATGCTGAGAATGTTAATGCCAATCCACGAAACTTTCTGAATGGGGCGGGGAACCTACACTAAATGTCTTCAGGAATAATTTATGAGGAATATTAAATGATTCCTGGTTGTACTCGTTAAGCGAATTTGAACTGCAAAGTGGGACAAGTTGTTTGTTTATATAGAGAGAGGCAGTGCGTGTGTTCGCCCGCGTATTTTAATGATACATTTAATAATCTGGCAGAACACATGAACCTCTTCCGTTCATCCTGAGTACAGTACATCTGCATTACGAAGTACAGACATTTCCTTTGTTGCTATCCTGTCTCTTTGAATGTTCCTTTGGGGCGACCTGTGGCTCTTTGGCTGGTTTCATTTGCGCAGGAAATCGCTCATTCATTAACCCTCTGGCTTCCCTTTCATCTGAAGTCTGACTGATCATTAAGCCGCCTTTCACGCCGGAACGGCTGAAGACCCGTTTAAAGAAATTAAGGGATTTATCTGTTAGTCCATCAACCCTTCCAGACCAGTTATCAGGGAATTTCATTAGTCGAGAAGATGTCAGACCCGGAGGCCAAGGAACTGACCAAATGGAGACTTCAAAGAGCTCTTAAAACGGCAACGCCAAGTTCTACAGGAACTGCAAATGGAATTTAAAGAGACACCTACCCTGTTGGTGTGATCGAACATCAAGGTGTAGACCACATGTCCCATTCAACAACAAACCCCTGCCCGGCAAAAACACAAATCCAGTCCTAGAAACAACAACAACAAAAGAGATTAAGGGTCGATTTCATACAGACTTAACCAAAAGGATTCATGTCAGAACTGACACAAACCTCTCCCTCTTTACATAAAGGACATGCCAAAGCTGAAAATGAGCTATAATCTCTGCCTAATTCATATTTTAAAGATGAATATTGCCTCTCTGAAACCAGTCTGACGAGAGGCACCAATATTGCATCCCCCATCCAGTTTTAACTACATTTTTTTCAATCGATTCATTGATATTTCCACCTTGTTAAAGCACAAGGCTTGTCTTCCCAACGTCCATGGTGTAGAGAGACAAAGGCACACAAGGAGTAAATCAAGCTGGTTCATCTTGGTCCACAGACTCCCTACACTTCAATGGTGAGTATCTGGTAGCTGCGTTTTTTAGTACCTCCCCGCCCCCCCCCCCCCCCCCCCCCCTTCATGGCGTAAACTCCCTGGCTGCCACGGGTCAGCAGCGCGCTGAATTCGGAACATATCCTGTGCAGTGCATTTTAAAAGGACATTTCAACTGTAGAAAATAGATAATACCCACCACAAACCTATTTTATGATTACTCTTCCCCATGCTGGGAAACTGATCTCCTCTATGGAGATAGGTGTGTGACCGGTGGGTGGGCGTGGGGTCTCAATGCTTAGTTGCCCTTGCCACCACTAGGAGACCCTTTCTGGGCGAATATTTACACATCCCCATTACCCCGAAATAACCAGTCAACAAACAAAACCACCAGTAAACGGCCCGAATGGACCCGAACACTAGTTCTGTGGGCGAATCCAGGCAAATATAGAGTAAATAACTGAGGCGCGATATCCAATCTGCGACCAATTATTTAGTCTCTGTGCTATGCTCCGCTCTTCAAAAGCATGAGAGCTCTGCTTTGCGATTTTAATAGTGTATGTGTGGAGGTCTCGAGCTGTGTTCTCATGCCAATTAAAAGACCTGCAGAGCTGTCAGAATGGGTGATGTGCCATCACCTGTAACTGCTGTTGCTTTTCACAATGAGCGAAAGCTTGTTTTTAAATTTATTTCCGAGTCCTCCCGGTGCTCGCGGCTATCAATGAGGCAGCCTGCACTCAATGCCTGGGAAGGGCAGACGAGGAGGGCGGATCAAGAAATGTTTCTCGCTCGAATGAGCTCGGCAGATAGCATCCAAGGTTTACGGTACGAATGAGTCTGTGGTTTTGGTTATCTGACATTGATGGACGCTGTTTACCTTTTCATATGGTAAATGTGTCAGTCAGAGTCTCGGCAGAACCAGTCAACCCAGTCTGCTGTATTACACATCGGGTCTGCTGCAAGTCACACTGTGTTATGGTAACAATTTACAAAGCCCTTAACAACCAATATTAGAAAGATCTTGGGTAAATTATAGCACGTCATTCAATGCGCATTTTTTTCCTCTTAATTCCGGAAAGCCGTTTTACTTTGAAATGTTTTTTAGCAACGTTTATACGGGAATTTAAAACAATTTTCAACATGGCACCATTTAGCTCAGTTATTGATACATACTAAACAGTAAAAGTATTTCACAATGTACATTCGAAATGCAAACATCTTCCCAGCAGAAGTTAAGAATCATTTGAATGAGGAATGTTTTTTTTAGTTCCCTCATTGTGTTTTTTTTCGGGGGGGTTGGCACATTTCAAATAGAAAGGCAGTCACAAATTGCGGAGAACCTCTGCCGTGCCTCTCTTCCCCTGCATTCACGCTCGGACAAAAAATGAACCCGTTTTGATGTGCAGTTTCCGCACATGGGCTGTGCATTTATAACTGAATCTGGAACACTGCAATGGATTAAGTTTGATCATTTGCTTGAATGGCGTCGATTTCAGCCAAATACTGCTGATGACCTACACTGGCATTTTTTTTTGCAGCAACGTAGCGGAGGTCAGTAGCTAGGGACACCGGGAAGAAGACCAGTGCGCTGCATCAGTAACTGCAAACTACAATCCCCGGGACAAGCATCAACCAATGCTGACAAAACGGCATAGGGTTCGAAGCAGTAAACGCCGCTGGACCTAGCAGCATGTATGAACAGAGAAACAGTTACTATTTCGAGTCATAGAGATGTACAGCAAGGGAACTGACGCTTCGGACCAACTCGTCCATGCCGACCAGATATGCTAAACTAATCTAGTCCCATTTGCCAGCATTTGACCCATATTCCTCTAAACCCTTCCTATTCATGTACCCATCCGGATGCCTTTTAAATATTGTAATTGTACCAGCCTCCACCACTTCCTCTGGCAGCTCATTCCATACATGCACCACTCTGTGTGAAGATATTGCCCCTTAAGTACATTTTAAATCTTTCCCCTCTCACCTTAAACTTATGCCATCTAGTTTTGGACTCCCCGTCCCTGAGGAAAAGACCTTGACTAATGCAAGTGCTAATGCTAATGGTTTAACCTGACGGTCACCACGTCTCGGCGAGAGGAGGGATTGAGAAGAAGAGTCCTTCATGGTAACCTCAGCCGGCGCTGGAATTGAACCGACTCTGTTGCTATCACACAGCAGCCGTTCAGCCAAATGAGCTAATGCCCCCCTACCAAGTGATACCTTGGCTGAGGGTGTCCTCCCATCAGATCTTTCCTGCCTACACGGTATTACAGAGTCACCCCATGCTGTCCTGATGGTACCCTTCTGGCATTTATATTTGCAAATACTAGTGAGTAAGAGATGCAGGCCAGGCAGTATCAGAGGAGCCGGAAAGTTGACGTTTGGGGTCGGTACCCTTCTCCCGACCAGAAACGTCGACTTTCCTGTTCTTCTGATGCTGCGTGGCCTGCTGTGCTCCTCCAGCTCTACACTGTTCTATCTCTGACTCCAGCATCAGCTGTTCTTACTATCTCTGAGAAAGAGATGTAGCGTTTTGTTGGTAAGGCTAATCCCAAATAACACTAAGACGGAGCTTCTGTGATTTAGGGCCTTGAATCAAGGGATAAACACTGAGGCAAACACCAACTGCTGCTGGAAGACCTTCGATTAGACCAAAAAAAAAGTTGTACTGCCCAAAACCTGCTGAACATTTCACGCAGGGAGATGTCCTGAACCAGCATTGCAGACTGCCACTTTCCCAACGTCCCTGGTCAGAGAGGGACGTCTTGGGGAAGGGCTCTA